AACTATATGATATTATTTGCACTTCTACTTGCACTTTCTTCTGATTCTTTTTGCTGTTTTCGTTCACTTCTTTGGTTAGACTGGCGGTCCTCGCCGAGTGTCGGGCTTATATACCCTTCCTAAGATTCCCGATCATTCGATCAATAGAAAATTCCATAACCTTCTTTTCCGGTTCTATGGAGTTCTATGATCAAATTCCACAATAATAACTATACCACATCACTTTCATTAATTGTCTTTGTAGTTAATTAATGTCTCGAACCCGGTTTGAGAATAATAAAAGTCAAATTCAAACTAGAACTATGAATTAGAGTCAAAGAAAATGGTTCTAAGAGGACAACTACCAAGTCCGAAAATGTTCTAGTACTGGTGTATACAACCAGATGGCGCTAGAACCTTTCGGAGCTAAATTTAAATATGTTCTACTGAGTTAATTCAATCCAACATTTTTGATCGCGATTTCTCGTAGAGATTAAAGAGAAGAGCATTTGTGCCAAATGTCATTGTTTGGAAATGATTTTTACTATTGTTTATCAATAATTAAAATTTGGCAAAGTGCATTTTAGGCTTTTTATCGCTTACGCAGCGAGAACCGTTAGTTTCTTCGAAAAAAATGTAGATACTTTTCTGTAGGAAATCGAATCGCTAGTACGCTAAAAATGGTCAGTTTCTGTGCGCGCGGTTAGAGCGTTGCACCTTTTTACCTGTAACAGGTAAGTATATGCTCCCGCGGACTTTTTTGTGAAGAATTCGATTCTCTACAAAAAAGATGTCTATATTTTTTTCGAAAAAACGAACCGTTCTCTCTGCGTAAACAGTGAAAAGTCAAAAAATGCACTTTACTAAATTTCAAATGTTGATAAACCATAGTAAAAATCATTTCCAAACAATGTCATTTGGCACAAATGCTCTTCTCGTTAATCTCTACGAGAAACCGCGATCAAAAAATTTTCTCAACCTTCTTAAAATTAATGCATACCAGCATAGTGGCTTTTTATACTGCTTTTGGATTATTAAAAGATTGCCAAATTTAGCTTCGGATTGATGACAGTACAGTAATTTCTTAAGATAGTAAGATAAGTGGATCTAGATATATGAAATTTAACAAATTGGTTAAGTACATATGGCAATAGGCAGAAAAAAGAAAAGTTTTTCTCTTTGCGTCTTATATATCCGCGCGGCATAATACAAAGGCAGACTCTTTCTTCAGGTTAATTAATGAGGACACTAAGTGGGAATTGTCAGTAAGGTTTTTTAATAAAATTGTGTTCAGATTTGAAAGACGAGATATAGATCTTTTCATTACTTCTAGAAATAAAAAATATTTGTTTTTAAGGTTCTGATCAAAATCAAGAAAGATAGAGCAGAAGGATTAGTAGTAGTGCTTAACTAGCTCAATCAGCTCTGCATAGAGAACTTTTCCCCAGATTTTAGAGGAATACCCTCTACAGCTCATGGAGTCCAAGATTCAATATGCGTGAAGGGGGACGGGAACGGTTTATTGGAATGACGGTTTTCAACACGGAGTTAATTAATAGAAATAGAACAATTTATTAAACATACAAAATAGTTATTCTGACAACACAAATATAATTAAGAGAAATATTAAAGGGAAATGTAATTGTGTATGACAAAAATAAATGGGTTGGAAGCGGAAATCGGAACAAACGGTCGGTCAGTCTGTCGGGGTCGGTTGTGTAGGTAATCGGTCTTCTCCCCAGGAGTGCGAGAACTGGGTGACAACTTTGGCGACGGGACTACGGCCTCCGTCTTTTAGAAACAGTACAGGTGCCGGGTAACGACTTCGGTGGTAGGATACGACCTCTATGGGACACGGATGCCGAGTGACGTCCTCGGTATCGAGGTTATGGCCTTTTGGCGGGTTACGGCCTCACTTTCTTCGGGTAATGCGTCAGAGCCAAGTCTCCGTTTGGCCACTCTGCACGGTTTCATATCCAGCTTGCCCCACCAAGGTACCGTCTCCACCACTACTGTGGGCGACAGTGCTACCGATGGTGCTTGTAGGAATTAACAAGTCAAGTTATCGGTCGGTAATAATCATGGGGGAAAGTCTTCGCTGCCGGCTCCTTACACCTGGTATCCGATGTTTCAGGAGTTGTTAATCGAGGATGCAATTATTTTCCATCCAGATTTTAATTTATAACCATCTAATTGTAGAGAAAAGCATCACCCGAGAGCAGATACATTGGAACTAAGAGTAGGAAGATTCTCAAGCAGGCTTTTATGCAGAGAAGTGTACCACAAGAAGTCACAGGGGTGTTAATGGCTTCACTGTAGAAGGCTGCGCTAAACAATACCAATCGGCATCAACACTTTGGCACGAATTTTGTAGTGATCGACAGATTAATATGTTTACTCTTTCCAACGCGCAAGCCTTGCTATTCTGAAATGAAAGATTAGAAAACGGATCTTCTTATGGTACCCTGAAATATAATTATTCTCGACAAATCTTCATATTTAATGGATTCAATATCGTTTGCAGATACTTGTAATAACACAATTATTCTATTATAAGTCTTAAATTGTAAAGAAGCATCCTCACTTGGAATTAGTTCATTAAATATATTTGCGCGCTGATGTCGTCAACTTCAGATTTCTAGACTCTTCTGACATTTGCCCCGAAAGCTTATTATCTCCAATTGCACAGCGTTTACCAATCTGCATGATAGATAAAAAAAATTCAAATATTAAGCGAAATTAATGCATTTCAATTAAATAAAATCACTATGATAGTAAGTTAGAGAGTTGACTACAATTGGCTTCTACTATAATCTCTCATACATTTGGAGACTGAAGTTACTTACCGTCAGGTCAGGCAGAGGACTATAAACGAAGAAAGGTTATTACAATCACCTGTATTATTTGTAGTATATAAAGCATTTTTTTTTCTCTTAGTTCGAATTCCAAGTTCATACTTAAGACAGTACTTTTCCTATACGAGTGACTCAAATCCTATAGAAACTTTTCGTTTCTTGACCTATAGAATCAGACTGCATCCTATTGATCAGTATGTTAACGGAAAAGTATTTTTCAAGTATTATTTTCCCATTGAAGTTATCCAAATCTTGTTTGAACTTGAATTTGATATCCTATAACTTTTTCGTATTTCCGTTTACATTGCCCGTTTTCTTTTCAAATTTTCCTCATTCTATTCAGATTTTTATAGGATTATCATACTCGTTTTTCTTCCTCTTCGTCTTTTTAATTCCATCATAATACGCTGAATTAAATTCATTTTAAATGGAATTGAAATCAATCAAATCTATTTTGTGAACTTAAAACAACAACATTATATTGAAATTGATATTTTTGAACTATGACGTAGATTTATCTGAAGCTTAAAATTAGTATACTGAAAAATATTGGTAGCAGTAGGAACTTTTCAGGTAGTTGATTGATGACAACTGAAGTAAATGTTTTGCAGAGATAGTTTTTGCAGTATTTGAATATTGTCTTTTTGGTATTGTTTAGAAATCGGATAACCAAGTACCCGTATAAAAAAAATTTTTCTCTGTATTATATCAATAGATTTGTTTTACATCTCTTTATTGCAGAAGTTAAAATCATAATTGGAGCATAATTTATGCTAAAATTAGAGCAAGTTCTCGTCTCCGACTTTCAAGTTTAACCACTCATCCTCTTTGTCTTGATGTGTAGAAATACGGAATCGGGGCATCGCTCGAACAAATCTACTTTAACACCCTCAATAACGGGTGAAACTGGATACCCAATAAAAATCATCATCCCCTTGACTTTTTCTTCGATTTTGACTCCTGGCTCCTTGCCGATACTATATTCATATAGACTTTGCTAACTCTGTTGAGTACAGTTGAATTCATACTTTCTATAAAATAACATTGTATTTCAGTTTAATTAGTTTATATAAAATAAATATTGTAATTAAATAGACCGACACGGTGACCTAATGGGTACAGTGTCAGCCTGACGCGCCATAGGTAGCGGGTTCGATTCCCGGCAGGGACAAAATCATTTATATAGTTTTTCTCGGGCCACCGTGAGCGGGAGGGTCTCTTCAGAAAGCCAAGTGTATCGACACAGGTAGGGCCCCCGGGGTTATATAGATGTTTCTGTTCTTAAGATATGTCGCGTAACAACGGGGGTAGATTGTAGTTCGTTGTGTCCCATTTTCGTACTGCCCTATATGGTAGTCTGAATGTGGGCACGTCGAAGACGCCGAGCGCGAGACGCGTTAGCGACCGCCGACCAAAGCGGATGAAGTTGGTCCTACGGGAGGCCAAATTCCAAGCCCTGTGCCTCGGGCTGCAAAGTCAAAATATGACATGTACGCTTAGGTACAACTGGCCAATTGAGGTCGGACTCGTAGTGGCATGTTGTAAGGCCTCGGGCTTGTTACGTGTATCCCTGTGCCTGTTCTAGGTGCACTCAATTTCCGTCCTTCGGACGGAGGAAGCATGGATTTTTGTATCGACACAGGTTTTCTGCAGTTTCCCTGTGTCCTCGTGCAAATGCGATACAATAGTTAATAAAAAATTTAAATAATAATAATAATAATTTAAACTTACTTCTTCAGTCATTATGAAATGATCGTGCACATTAATAGTCATGACTATTAATGTTAGTTTAATTATAGTAATTATAAATTTAAGTTTATAATTAAATTATAATTATCATTATTTGAATTTTCTTGTTATTATTTAAATTAAGGTTTAAAAATTTTTTAGTCGGGATATTCTATCGTTATAGGGACTATCTAAAAGGGTATTTAATAATGAACTTTCTAAATTAATTTAGATGTGAAATTTGAAAAAAAACTACTCCATCGATAATTGCTCGGATGGTATTAAAGTTTTTGGTGGACCAAGCATTAATGACGCTGAGTGTACAAAACCGTGTCCTTACGTCGATAAGTCGGAAAACTAGTTACCCCATCAGAGATAACGGCGTTCGCTGATAGTAATAAAACAATCTTGCTGTCTTTTCCTTTATGACCGCAATATGGGACAACGTTTCTTGGTAGACACAAGCGCCGAGTTGTCACTGCTTCCGGCTACGCGAGCAGATTAACATCGTAAATCGAGCTTTTTGCAGCAAATGGCAGTCGTATTCCAGCGTATAAAGAAAAAACAATCACATTAAATCTGGGTCCTCAACGACCAGTCTCATGGGTCTATCGTGTCGCTGAGGTGCCGTACGACATTCTCGGAGCAGACTTATTACATCATTACCATTTTACAGTAGACTCTCATAAACAGTGTATCTATGACACCACAACAGGCATCTAAGCCCAGGGTAAATTACAAATAGCCACGATATCAGGTATTTTCATCATCGGTAAAAAAGATGTATGGACAAAAATTCTTCAACAGTTTCCGGAGCATATGATGAATGGAGGGCAAATCCTTGTTTCCCTGTCCTGAGAAGGACATTTTATTTGAGTCCCTCGCTTTATAGGGCATATCTCTAGGAGTGGCTCTACTTCTAATGACGGCGTTACTTGGGACGTGGTATTCTCGCGCCTTTAGAAAGGTATGATATGTATCCTCATACACGCATCTAGCCCAAGACATTACGACATACCACTACGAGTCCAACCTCAATTGACCGAAAGCACCTGGTTCTACATATCGTTTTTCGACTTTGCAGCCCCAGGTGCGGGCTTAGATTTCGGTCGCCCGTAGTACCAGTTTTATCCGCTTTGGTCTGTGACCCCAGGGGGGGAGCACCATTATATTGTTAACAGCTGAAAGAATGTATGATTAGTATTGAGAGGTTTCTTGAAATATGTAAAAGTTTGCATTAGAGATTATTGAATACCTAAAAGTAAAGTGAAAAGAAAAAAAAACGGGACAAAAAAAAAGAAACATAGAGAATAAAGTCCCTATTCATTTGATTCACAGGTTACAGATGTTCTGCAAAAATTGCAGGCCTGCAACCTGTGCCTGGGTGCTCCGACAACACCCAGGTGTGGATCAATGAAATTCACGAGCTATGTTTTACGGCATTGGTAATAACCTACTACTTCTACAGGCTGGAGGATTATGTGTATTGGGCATTGCTGTTCCCGCTCGCGCTTTTCTTCTCTTTTCTCTCACTCTCTCGCGGATTAGTTCAATTTCCTCAAACAATTTCTGTTCCGTGCACGCTTTGACAAATTGCCATATTTTGAGTGTTTGTTACCTGAGGTTCATTATCGGCGTCGACGATTCTTTTGACGTATTGTCGTTCAGAGAAATCCTAACATTGTTGTACGTAACTGCTTTGTCGTTACGAAGTGTATATCGCGCATTGAGATCACTGATCGCTATGCGTATAGGCGGGACGCCTACCGCCACGCAGAGGCCGTCCCTCAGGGTAGATGCGTGAGCGTGCGCGACAACTCCCAGGACGCCTTAAGCCTTAAAGCTAATCTTTAGCGTTACATGAATCGCTCCATGCCGGGGACGCATAAGCAATCACCGGCAGAAAGCATGCCCTATATATAGTTAGACAAGTGTGATAGTTGAGTCCCCAACGCATTCGCGAAAGGCATCTCATTTTGTAAAATAACTTTCCCGCTTGCGCCCGTCGTTTATGAATATAAGTGGATATATTGAGGTCTGCCGAACCAGACCCTCAGGTACCTAACTATCTCAGGGTACTTTATTTTATTACCCTTTATGGTGATCTTCGGCGGTTTACATTTGTGCCTGTCTTTCTTCCTTTTGAGGTGTAGTTTATATTCTCGATAGTTGAGATTGTTTTCATCCCTGTAATTCTTCTTACCTCTAAGTTTGATTTCTCTCTTCATGAAGATTGCTTCTGTTTTGGTTTCTGATAACTCGAGCTTAGCATTCTTGCACTAAGTGAGTATTGTGTTAACGACTGCCTGTCCTTTGGCCTCGAGGATTTCTCTAGAATTGCCATTTATAATGACAATTAAATAGTCCGCATAGGCCGCATAACGTTTTCCATGTTCAGATTGGTAAAGTATTTTTTATAGGTCATCGAACATAATGTTCCAGCACAGTGGGCCAAGCACAGATCCTTGAGGGCATCCACGCGTGGCCGCTCATGTCACGGAGCCAGTTTCCCAAGATAGACTAACTGTACGATTTGTAAAGTAATTTTGCATTACTTTGTAGATATTTTTAGGGCAGTTCCGTGACTTTAGTCCTTTGAAGACCAAAGGCCACCATACAGTATCAAACGTACCTAAAATAACGAAGAGCAATGCAACCACGTTACGTTTTGTAGATTTTTGCACTCCTCTTCGCACTATTAATATTGCATCTATTGTTGATCGCCCTTCCATAAATCCATATTGGTGATCTGAAATGTTTCCTTGTTTAAGGAAGCTAGTTGAAAGACGAAGTTTTTAGTACCGAAAGAAGACATATAGGTCGATATGATTTTGGATCTGCTACATCTTTGTCGGAACTCTTTAGATTATAAATCTCAGTTTTCGAAAATACATTACTTTAATGCGGATAAGTGTGTTAAATATGACTTTTTACACAATAAGATCTGCGTTAAAAGTGACTACAATGTTTATCAAATGGGCGACGTCATATTCAACACACTTATCCGCATTAAAAAATGCATTTTAGACAACTGAGATTTACAGTGTAGGAGCATACGAATTGTTCCCTTCTTCCAAGCCCGAGAAAAGCCGCCTTGGGACAAGCATTCGTTGAAAAGTGTTAGAAATTTTTATGGAAGGTACGCAATTGCACGTTTAACAACCTCCACTTCCAGCAAGTCTGGCCCACGAGCTTTTCCATTCTTAGCCGTTCGGACGACTTGCTTAAGTTCTTCTTTGTTAAATGGTTCTGCATCATCTGTGCTGGATAGGCTAAGAGCGTCTATTTTTATTCTGTTCTGCTCATCTGTGTCCATTTCTAGATGGTCATTGACTACGTGTACTGTCAGCAATCGCTCGGCTGTTTCCTAAAAGTTCAAGGTTCCATTACCCTCTTCAGTGCGAAGTACATTCATGACTTTTTCGACTCGCATCTGTCGGTCGCAATTTTGTAAACCACACTCCATTTATCGTCCAGCTCTTTATTTTTGCTTTTTAAGCGCTTGGGAGTACTTTCTTACCTGCTGGCGGTATCAAAGTCTCGCCGCTGTGATTCAGTGGGTATCGGCACCAAGCTTTTTAATGCACTGGTATCTATGGTACAGTCTGTAAACACTATGTCTTAAACAAGACAAGTGGTTATTCCACCAGGGATTCGCTTTCCTTGATGCTTTTCGACAAACCCGGGATAGAAAAGAGGAAACCGTCCACACTAAAATGTTAAAGTCGATTCTGGCAGCGAGTGAAGAGTGAGATGAATGAGTTGAAACAAGCGACTCGCCGACCAATAGCCGCAGCAGAACATCACCAAGTAACCGTCCACCTCACCAGCTTCTCGAATCCAATTTCTAAACAGTCTAGCCTGACTAAAGAAGATATAAGAGGCTGTTGACACCATCAGTCATCACTATGATCTCATAAAGATCGACCTACGTACCCCCACAAGTCCAGTCCGAGCTATAACAAACGAGGCAAGAAAAGACGGCGTTGATTCCAGGAGTAGACGGGGGCAGATGTAACAAGTGCTTTATCATCTGCCATACAACCCCTCACGACATCTATTGACTACTTCGGCAACACGACGCAAGGTGCGCCACCGACAAAAATCGATTACCTCACCTCGCGGTCGATGGAAAATCGAATATATAACGTACACGAGACTTTGGAGGTGTGCTTCTCTGTCAAAAGAGCTATAGCCGGCAACAAGTGCCAAAGAAATTATTAGAACAATCTCAGGGAGATCTAAATGATTACTGTGGTAAACCAATCAACGTTGTAACACGCTTCTCCGGAGAGCAGTGCTTAAGAGGCTAGAGTACAAAAGACTAACATCGGGTTCGAGATCAGCTGGGAGCTGTACGTCAAGCTAGCCAGTAAAGTCTTAATAAATCTAAGTAAAGTTGAACCCAATTGATTCTTTTATTATTCATTTACCTACATAAGTAAAGTCAATATTAGAGAGTAATCTCATATTTGCCCGGTTTCCCCTGTATACTGGTCCAACAGCAGTTCCAGGGCGTTGCACGGTTGCACTTTCTTAGATCGTAGACAAGGTATACAATTACGTGCCCATGCAACAATGTGCTTGTTCATGTGAGGCCAGACATATTTTTGTGATATGAGTTGGTATGTAACTTTACCTCCAGGACGTGACAAGTTGTGGAAAGCGTTGAATACTTGTGGTCTGAATATTTCCAGCACGTACGGTCTCATATCTTGTTGTGACGCATCACCGTATAATTCCTTAGCATCAGATCCAAAAGTCAGTTTTTGGAGCTTCAAAGACAAGATATTATTACTGATTAGATGTGTTAGTTCTTCATCATCAGCTTGTGCCTTAGCTTGTTCAGATAATCTAATGACTTTAAGTGAACGTAAAGGTTGTACAGTGCTGCTTGCGTCTATTCTTGAAAAAATATCAGCGACGATGTTTTCTGACCTTTTAATGCTACAATATTCGTTGAGTATTGGTGAAATCGTAACCCTCTACCCAAGGTCTAAAAAATGTCACAGCGTGATGAATAGCAGACAATTCTCTGTTGTAAACACTGTATTTGGTTTCAGTAGGATTGAATTTCTTGGAAAAAAAATCTAAAGGTTTCTAGTTTTTGATATTTTGTTCAAGTACAGCACCCATAGTTCTGTTTGAAGCATCACAAGTAGTACGTAACGGTGCGTCAGTGGCTGGATGAGCTAGTAACGCCGCACCTGCTATTTGCTACTTGCATGTCTCGAAAGCTGCTATAGTTTCTTCTGTCTAAGGAACTGGCCTTTGATCTTTTTTGCGTGCACCTTGAAGTAACGCGTGCAAGGGTGCTTGGACTGCCACTGCGTTTTTTATGTATCTCCGGTAGAAATTCAATGTGCTCAGAAATTGATAGAGTTGCTGGAGAGTCTTCGGCTGTTTGAACTTAACGATTGCTTTCACTCTATCTGGTATATGCTGTGATCCGTAGCTGAAACTAAATATCCAAGATACTGAACTTCCTCAGCTTCAAATACGCACTTTTTTAGGTTAATTGTTAGCCAAACATCTCGTAGACGATGAAACACTGCTTTTATATGCTGCTCTTTATTCTCCGGGACGACTAGCAGATCATCTAGGTAGGCGTGAACGAAGTCTAGCCCATCTAAAACCTGACGAATAAACCGTTGGAATGTTTGAGCTGCATTGCATAGCCCAAATAACATAACCAAGACTTCGAATAAACCAAATGGCGTGATGACAGCAGTTTTTGGAATATCTTGGGCTCGTACTACATTGATCGTAGAAAATATCTTTTTGCCATGTAGGATGGACGTATAATTGAGAATGTGTGCTACCGGATAGCGTTCTGGAACAGTTTGTTTATTTAATCAGCGATATTCCCCGTACGGTCTCCAGTCGTTGATATTTTCAGGCGCCACGTGTAATGCACTAGCCCACTCTTGGATGGTTGGATTTGTCCTTGATTTGAGTTATAGAGGT